CCTTTCTCATATATTTGGTAGTATAGGAGTTTATATTGTTTGGTCTTGTATTATGGGCCTTAGTATAAGACTTTTTGGGTTTTAAGCTTATTGGGCCTAGTTTTGGACTTCATGAGCCTTTGGGCTTTTGACTGCTTCTGAGCTCAGTGAGCCCAATGGGTTTGGTGGGTCTAGGGTTCTCTTTACTTGGGCTTTACATGGATGACCACCTTTCTCATATTTTTGGTAGTATAGGAGTTTATATTGTTTGGTCTTGTATTATGGACCTCAGTATAAGACTTTTTGGGTTTTAAGCTTATTAGGCCTAATTTTGGGCTTCATTCATAGGATGCTTGATGTCATTGAGGAAGGGGCTTCATATCTCACTCACGCATAGCACCAAGCTACCCGCACCTAATGTCATTGAGGCAAAGAGTCTCCTATTCTCTCGTGTCTGGTATGAAAAAACTCACGCCCGACCCTAATTAGGCAGAGGGTCTTTGTCTAACTTGTGTTTAACTCCACATACATTAGTACCCAATGCAAATCTAAACAGAAAATGAGTATCTCTCCTCACACTAGGTGTCATTTAATCAACGCCTAATGTTTGTGGCATCGACAACAAAATGACGAAAGTCTATGCACCTTAAAAGTAATTAAACTAATGTAAACCAAATTTAAAAATATTTGGTTACATCAGTTTTTTTAAGAGGAAAATGTCGAGATATAAAACTAAAACTAACGAATTTTTGCAATGATTTAAATGAGAGAAAATTATATTTATAATAAAAAATTTTGTTTGGTGTTATTTTCTAATTAGAGTTAGAAATTTACGCATATAATTAATGTAAACCTCTAATTCTAATAGAAAAATATTATCAATTGAAAAACTATACTTAAATTTTAAATGTAATTTAGTAGAATGAAAAAAAAATATTATTTTGCTTAAAAAAAGTTCTAATGACAAATATGTAATTAGAACGACCCGTTCCAAATTCAGAATAGCCTGTTCTGGTTTAACTAGTCATGTGTTATTTTTAATCTGGAACGGGCCGTTCTGATTTCGGAACGGGCCGTTCTGATTCATTCGTCATGTGTTTTTTTTCATCTGGAACGGCTCGTTCTGATCCATTATTCATGTGTTATTGTTTCATATGGAACGGTCCGTTCTGATTTCAGAACGGCCCGTTCCGAACGTGAATAGCAGTTGCGTCAGTACATCGTAATACGTGCTTTTTTGAGTAATTTAAAAAAAAAAAAAACAATTTCAGTAAAAAATTTGAAAGATTTTGATCCTGTGTGATAGGGTGTATAATAAGCTATTAGTTTAGATGCATCTTATGGTCAAAATTCATGGTGCACACATACACCACTTGCGCTAGTGGTCCATCAGAGAATTTACCCTAGATTCGACCGTAACTAGTATATATATATATATATGGGTTATAATTACATCAATATAATTTTTATTAAATATTATATTACTTAATAATTTTATATTTATTGTGAATTTTGTAAATCCAACCGTTAGATTGAAAGTTCATATCACTTTATATGTGTATATCAAATTTT